CAAACATCTAATATGAACCACTGCTGCATTCAACATACTACGTGATACACAAAAATCGTTTTTTTATATTTACTTTTAAATTAAAAAATTGAGTAATGTATAATTTTAAAATTTGAATTATAATCTACAGTTTGATACCAAACTTATTGACATAAATTCATGAAATAGTAGTTCAATAAAATTTTGAAAGCGAGTCAACAAACAAGATGACATGGCCTTGAAAGGGTTAAACTGATTGAGGGTTAGTTTTATGACTAATATGGGCAAGCCAAGATATATTAAATCAAAATTGAGTCACTGTATTATTGTTCATTGAATACAAAATATTGAAAAGTTGAATTTGATACCTAATGCCTAGATCTCTGGAGTGAAATTTACAATAAATTTCAGCATATAGATGTAATTTAACAGATATTTTGACTTGTAAATAAATTATTAGCTTGCTTACCAAGATAAAAAGCCAGACAAGAAACTGTCTTATTGATCTACCAGTGCATATGTATAGACAGTATAGTTAAATATGTGATACTGATGCTTAGAGATATTCCCGAGTTGGAACAACTCTGTTTAGATAAACAAGGAGAGAGAGAATTGATGGAAACTATATTGCGTAAATACGTTTTTGGATTTATTTTGCTTTGTTTTTATGTATTGTAGCATATATTTATACCATGAAATGGAGGCTACAAATGGACTTCAAAAAATTAGGTAAAATTATTGATGCATCATAAGCATCATTAATACTAAAAATAAAACTATGGTTGCTAAAGTAGTTGAAATTTTTAAGCAGTTAACCATTTGGGGGAATGCTTATTTTTTATTTTAGGCTTGTAAAATTGTTTCTTGTTTTTTAGAAAAATTAAAATGTTTGGTGTAAAAATTTGTTTCTGATTTTTGTAAAATATAATCCTTGCTGTTATTTTTTCTTAGTTTGGTGTGAAATCTTTTCCAGTTATTTATAAAATAAATTATTTTGTTTTGTTTTTCTAGATTTGTACTTTGGTGTAAAAATGGTTGTAGTTATTCATAAAATATTTAATGTTTTATTCTTAGGTTTATACCTTGGTGTCAAAATGTTTCTAGTTGATTATGTTTTCTATCGATTTCCACGTGTCCAGCAGAAATATGATTCTACGTGGAAATTATGGAATTCTTTACCCACTGATGCTGAACTTGAAAAAAAACATAGTCGAGCAAAAATTGACAGGGTGAGCTCTTCATTTTGAATAATGGGTTGAGAATGGCTTAGAAAATTTAACTTTTATTATTTTTCTGTAAATTGTTAGTTTAATTATGTAATCCAAGTTTCAAATATAAATTTTTTATTTGCGGTATGCTTTGACTAGAAAATTTCATGAATACTTTATGAAGAAAAAGTGAAAAATGACTAATGGCCATACTAACAAATTGAATCAGTGTAAATGTTCTAAAGTCCTGTTTGTTTATAATATGAAAGCATTTTGTGAGTTATATAATATGTGTTGTTGTTCTTTCACCCAGAATGTAATTAACCAAAATGCTTGTCAACTTTCCATGGCTACAACAGAAAATCAGTCATTTTGTGAACTATTTAATCTACCAGCATCGGAATCTCCATTGCCATGTAAGGTTTCATAAGCAGATAATACTTTTACTTTATGCACTTTGAGGCAAGAGTTATATCTATTGATATTTACAGATTTATTAAGGTCCTTTCAAGTTATTTAAAACCAACATACTTTTGTATTGGCATTCGAACTTAATCATGCACACCAGTCTTTTATAACATGGTAGAAAATGTTTATCTAATTTTCATTTCATAACATTGTTTATTTATGTAAAGGATTGAAGCAGAACTGTTATTTTTCATTTTTATTCATTGCACATCTTAACTGTGGTTTTGTCGTTATCGGAATATAACTTGATATTACATTCATGATGTCAGAATAACACGTAGGTTCAAGCACTTTAGAAAAGTGGACCTTTAAAGAGTGCTCAGGTTTTTATAATTTTATGTCAAGACTTAATATCACATGTTGTGTGCACACATCTCTATTACAGGAATTGTTAATATAAAACTGTTGTAATTTCTTCACCAAAATAAAACTTTGTTTTGTATCCTTTGTGTATGGTAAAATATTGATAAAGTTCTTTAGTGTTTGTTCAAACCCTCAATCACACATTTTGTTTTACAATTTTCTTTCTCTGTACTATCATTTTTGTCGTTTTTTTATTGTTGTTAATAAATGTGCAAACTTTGGCACGAAAAGTGATTTTTCAGATAATCCTCATAGATGTGCTATTGTTGTGCACAATTTACATTTGGTTACACATTCTGTTCATTGCTGATGAGAGAGCAGTATTACCTGGCTCAGAAGACATTTTTTACATTAGTGGTGTTTTTTATGACAGTTTAAAAATGGGTTTCTTAACCTTTTTTGATTTTTTATGCTGTTATTTTCTATTCTTATTTTAGAAGAAAATTTTCTTGCACATAGAAACTTTTATTAACAGCTATATAATAACTTAATGTGCTATTAACCGATATATACTTTCTATCCCATATTGACCTGTGTTTGTGATTAATAACTTCGATTTTTAGTTTAGCATTTTAATGTTTATCACGGATTAAACCCCTTTGATAATTTAGTTAAATTATTTTTGTGAGTTTGACCGACTTGGTTGCATAAGAAAACATCCAGTTATAAGAAGTGCTTTGTAGTATTCAGCTGTTTGCTTGATTCTTTATTTACAGTTGGAACGTTTGACAATTAATTTTAGTTTAAAGAGTAACATTTAAGTACTTATGTGAACAAATTCCTAAATTAATATCGTGGATGAAATGATTAACCTTAATTTAATATAATTCTCTAGATCTGTGTGTGATATTTTCTAGAAAAGTTATGGTAGTGAACTAGCTAATGAGATACCTGTCTGCATCTTGTTAGCTTGGCATGGGGGACGAAGGTGTACACTGATCAACAGAGACAAGTCTCTAACCTCGGCATTTAAGAATGGCCGTCTTTATTTAACAAACAGGTACAGTAGGAGCTTTAAGAAAGTTCATTCATTAGTTTAAGTATTGTGTTTTGTGAGCTAATAAATATCACAATGTGATAATAGTGTTGGCATAAAATAAAATCTTTTAAATTGTCACTGTTTTACTTGACCCAATGTTTGTTTTACCTTTAAGATTTCATAAATTACAACAGAAAACTTTGTTGTGGTCTTGTCCACTCAATAACATGCTTGCAGAATAAAATTTATCTGGGAATGACACATTTTTCTTACATTTGATTTAAGATGATCATACAGTCAGATGAAAAATCATTAATTTTTGAAGGATTTAATTCAATTTATGTATATTTCTTTAGTAACATTTATTACAAAATATTAAGTTCATGCATTAAATACCCTACTTAGAGATGAAATTATATTTAGAAAAAACAGTTGCACAGTAATTATAGAAAATTATTTAAGCTATGACAGCTGAAACCTGAAACGGGCATTATATGAGATAACATAAAAGAGGGGAGGGAAAGAAGAGGTTACAGCAGGATTTTGATAGTGAGAATGATTGTGGAAGTATCCGTTGAACAAGATTGTCCTTGGTTCCACTGTTTTAAGTACTGATATTACATTGGTTAGATAATTTGCATTGTGTTAACTTCTAAATTATCACTTTTATCTCTTTCTGTGCCTTTTTTTGTTGTTGCAAATGAGCTCAAAAGATGTCAGGTTTTGTTACTTTGCTTTTTGATAACCTATACTTGTATATTAATGAAACAAAAGCTATTTCATGATCTGTTGTTATATTTCTACACAAAACTCAATAAATAGATGTAAACAACGAGTTAGTTGAAAAATAATAGAGTAGCAAGTAAAAGAGTAGAAAAACTTCAGTTAATGAAAATAATGTTTTGGCTATACAAAATTGATCACATTTAATCTATTCATTAACCATGGAGATAATAGTAGGGGTAGCAAATGGGATGGCTTGCTGGTAATGTTTTTATATTGTCTTTGGTCCCTGGTAGCTGTTAATAGGTTTGTGAAAGATGGCTTTATCCATTTTGGAATGTTATATAGTCATGTCACTTTTTGCTGTCACTGTCAAGATGGTAGTATGGGAGTCACATGTGATGCTTTGCTGGTGATATTTCTCCATAGAATTTCATCTGTGGCAGCTGTTAATTATGTTTGCAAGAGATGGCTTTGTCTGTTCTTTAATGTTGGTGAGCCATGTCTTCTTTTGCCATTCTTGCTTTCTTTGGCCTTCCATCTTGCCTTGTAAGATGGTCTTTGACTGTTCAGATGTACAAACCACATGTTCAAACGTTGTTAGTTTTCAGTTGTTTTAGATAGTCCAGTTGATATCATAGTACATTCAAATGCAATACTCTTTTTGCTCTTATTGTTTCTATCTTTTGTCATTTCTTATTACAGTGTTTTACATTGTCTGTATTTTAAAGTTTTCTTTGAATCAATCCATTATCTAAGTAGAGTTAAGTATTCAGTTGTGTTTAAACTGTATGCATATATAATGAACTAACCTTTAATTTGCATTTTGAATTATGTATTTTGCAATCATTATTGGAGTGACAGGTTATGTAGTAACAAGTTTTGAGTTACATCTGAAGCATTTATTATTATACAAAATGTTGCTTTTCTCCTTTCTCTCATGTTTCCAGTTTTTTATGCTTTGAGAGGTCAAGAACATCAAATGTCAAGAATTTGGTTTTACCACTCAAAAATATTGTGAAGTTTGAAAAGGTGAGTGTGTTTCAGTGAGACATGTTTTATTATTACTGACTGCTATTTTTCTTGGGTAAATTATAATGTACACTCTGGCTTTGTTTTAGTATGTTACAAGTGTGCAGATGACATGCAAGTGCATGAACAAGTACTTTTTATGGAATATCCACAGTGGAACCAAAATGTGTATCTTCCAATAAACTCAAACTCATCACTAGTTAAATAAAAATCCTTGTAATCTATTCCCAAGTCATTTAGTTTTTACTGACATTTACCTTATGTATAATATAGATATCAACAGCACTACATGTAAACTTTATACATTTATCTACTACAGCACTACATGTAAACTTTATACATTTATCTACTACAGCACTACATGTAAACTGTATTCGTTCATCTGCTACAGCACTACATGTAAACTTTATACATTAATCTGGTACAGTACTACATGTAAACTTTATACATTAATCTGGTACAGTACTACATGTAAACTTTATACATTAATCTGATACAGCACTACATGTAAACTGTACATTAATCTGCTACAGCACTACATGTAAACTTTATACATTAATCTGGTACAGCACTACATGTAAACTTTATACATTAATCTGGTACAGTACTACATGTAAACTGTATACATTAATCTGATGCAGCACTACATGTAAACTTTATATGTTAATCTGGTACAGCACTACATGTAAACTGTACATTAATCTGCTACAGCACTGATGGACAAGAAAGTGTTACAGAAATCCAAAATGTGAAAACATAAAATATGAAGATTTTGTAGTGAACACTGTTTTGAACTCTTTCTACTGGTAATAGAAATCTAGTGAACATAGTCTTTTTATGTAAAACATATGATCAGTAAGGTTATAAGTGTAGTAAATGTAACAACAGATTTCACTTAATAATGCAGTGAACACCACACTATTGATTTATAATGTGCATGTGTATAACACATCTTTATATACTTAATTTTTTAATGTTTGTGGTACTAATTTTTTTTAAAACAAAATGTACAGAAATGATTAACTGTCTGTAGTTAAAATTTGTAGGCTCTTAATACACTTCTCGTTCACACCTGTACAGTCTTGGAAACCTGGAAACAGTATAAAAATGTTTGGAATGCTGAAAATAATTTCAAAACTGTTATAAGTTTTAGTGTTCTGCATGAACTAGAATCTTTTGTGATCTGTTTAGATTATCAGCCAGTGACTTGAATGGTTAGTTACTCTCTCTATATAAAGTTCTAAAGTTTTGTGTATTGAAACTGTGTAGGCTAAGCCTTATCCGTGGATTCCAGGAGGGGGGATGGCATTAGAAGTTACAATGGAGAAACCTGAGAAGGTAAGTTTTGTCTTTATCTTCCTAATAAACTGAAACACACCAGCTAAAAAAGAAATTACAAGATAACATCCTGATGATTTGAGTGTCATTTGAAGTCATTTTTTTAAGAATCTGACTCATCCAGGTCTATGTAAATTTACTTAGAATATCTAAACCAAAATCAGCTTAAAGAAATATATATCATCTGCAGTTAATGGGTTAAGCAGATGCTGGTACATCTAAAAAAAATAAAAGATTCTTTGGAAAAGTCTTGTTCAGTTTATCAAATAAAATCTTGAGGCTGTGGAGAAAGAGAGTAATTGTTAAAAGTAAGAATTGGGGGAACATAAACATAAAGTAAAAATTGAGAAAATAATAGAATACATTCTTTCTGAACATGTTTCGTTAACAGTTGATTCCATTGATGGATAAAATATTGATTCTGAATTAAATAGGGGCCAGTAATATTGAAGTAATGAGATTTTGTTCTGCAGTTGATCACTAATAATACAATAACTATTTCCATCAGAGCAGCTTTAATTCTATTTGAAGTCGAATTTTGAAAGGTGCTGTGAGTACTTCTTATTTTGTTAATATTTTATTACTTCAGGATTACTTGATGTAGTTCCTCTTGCAATTTGTCATTTTGAAAACATACTTACCTCCGCTCCCACTTTAGGTTTATCCCGACAAAAGGTTTTCTTCTTTGCAAGCAATGGTATGAATTCTACCTCGCTTGTTTCAGTCTTTATACCCCATTATATCACCCCTAGCGACTTGTGACTTTTTCAACCTACGTCAATGCACCCTGTATATCTGATCTGTATATAAAAGCTCCCCATTATTCTTTCTTATTCATTTTTTCTCTACAGCAAAATTATGAAAATTATATTACGTACTGCAGATTTCTCTTCAGTGCTATTACTACATTTGCAATGTTTTCTTGTGAATTATATATATTTTCAATCTTTTTCATGGGGCTTGAGTTCATTGTTTATTTTCTTGATTTTACGATAATTTTTTTTGCTGGAGACTTTTCTAATATGAATACTTACGTTCAAATCTCAGACATGGAGTTCCCTGATGCCCTTCCTCTACTATCTCACTAGTCTAAAGTTACATAGGTATTATCTCTGTTTTGTGCACAAAAACCACGTTTTTCAGTTTCATGCTCTACTATTCGACCTCGTGACTTCTGCATACATTTTTTTGCCAGATAGTCAGAGTTTTTTATGTCATTTTCACTTCCTTGACATTCACACTCACCATTACTTGGACGACTGGCTTCTTTTCGCTCCTTCCTTCGATTTGACAGAACTGCACACTGAAACTCTGTTATTTGAAGCTGCGAGATCTTGGTTTCTTATCAAAAAGAGAAGTCTGTTTCTTACTCCCACACAGTACTTCATACATTTAGGGGTGTTTTTCAAATCCAGACTAAGCCAGGCCCAACCTTCTGCTCTACGCCTTCAGGCCATGGAGCTGGCAGTTCTTCAAATATAGTTGTCTCCTTCTCCACCAGCATGCACAGTTCTATCTTATTTGGGAATGTGGGTTTCCTTGAAATCATTCGTTCCTTTAGTCTGGGCCCACATGAGGGCCCTTTACTGGTCCGTACAGAACCAGTGGAACATTTGCATAAATGTGCTGGATTGTCCAGTGAGACTGTTGAATTCCAGTTTGCTGGATCTCAGCTGGTGGTTGAACAGGGACAACACAGCAGTAAGGTCCCTCTAGTACCTCCATGGCCAAAGATACATCTGTTCACAGATGCATGTCTTTAGGGCTGGGTTGCTTTTATAGAAAATAAGGAATTCAAGGGACTTTGGACAGTAGAGGAAGCTTCTCTCCACATCAATCTCTTAGAACTTTAAGTAGTTCAACAAGCAATGAATCAGGGCCTTGAATTGTTGCAAGGGAAGGCGATAATGCTTCATTTGAAAGATTTTACAGTAATCTCCTAATTTCAAGGTACTCCAGATCTCTGTGTTTTTTGAACAGTGGATCTTGTCCTTTGGGCACATAAACACCACATTGTTCTCCTTGCTTGTCATGTTCCAGGCATAATGAATCTAGTGGTCAACCAGTTATCTCATCCCACCAGAGCTCTTCCTATGGAATGGATGCTTCATCCTTGAGTTTTTTGTTGGATCTCCTTTTGTCTAAGGACACCACAGATCAGTGCTTTAACTACACACTGGAATGCTCAGCTCCCACCCTTCCTCACCACTTGGGTTTTGGAGTAGATGCTCTCAGCCAGGATTGGATGGGTATTCATCTTTATGCATTCCCTCTGATTTGTGTGCTTTCCAAAATTCTGGCACTGATTTGTTCCATGTCCTGTTGAGTTCTGGTGGCACCATATTGGCTGGGTCAGCCTGATTTCCACTCATTTAGTATCTTCAGGAGTGTCAACCTCTTCCCCTTCCTCCACGGCCATGTTTCTTGCATCAGCCTCTATCGGACATTTTTCATCCAGCATTCAGCGTTCTTTGACTTCACACCTGGCTTTTATGCGGTCCATCGCATGACATCAGGGATTAACATCTCAAGTGGCATCCTTATTAACACATTCCTTTTGGCATTTTTCTTTGGAAGGTTATCAGAGGAAATTATTTATTTATCATAAATGGTCTCTCAGACAGGGGTTTAACCCTTTGCTTCCCACTGTGTCTCCATTTCTGACATGGTTGTTTGACAAAGGTTTGGTGCCTTTGTCTGTTGCCTTATCAGCTACTTTTCATTCTTCTAATAGAAGAAAAGCTTGTGAGTCCCTAGTTTTGTCATTACTTTTGAAATCATTTTAGGTTAACTGTCCTTGTTGCCCTTTCCAAGTTCCTAATTGGGACATCACAGTGGTTCCCTATGCATTATCACATCCAGCCTTTGAACTGTTGGTATCATGTTCACTATATTACGTTTCACTTAAAACATATATTCTTTTGTTAATGGTTAGTGAGCATCAACTTTCAGATGTGTTTGCCAACTACATTCTGTTGTATCCTGACAGGTCCTTTCTACCTAAAACTGCATCAGCTAGGGAAGGAGATGAGTCTTTCTCTCCAATTCATCTTCCCTCTATTTCCCATTTATAAAACTGTTCACATCTGGATCATCTTTTATGCCCTTTTTGGGCTCTCTGAAGTTATGTGGCATGCACTGAAGCATTATAGGGCTCACATCGCCCGTTATTTATACATTGGGATCCTTTGGTATCATGCAAGTTATCCCCTATCACTTTAACATGTTTTATTCATCAGTTGGTTTGGATAGCTTACTTTGGTCTTTCATTGGAGGAGCAGAGACTTCTTCGGGTTTCAGTTTGATGTATATCAATGTCCCTGACAGCTCAGTTTCATCACCTGCTGAAAGAAATTGTACAGGCTGGTATGTGGACCACAACTAACACCTTTATATTACACTGTATACATGATTTAGCAGTATCCTCTTTGGATGGGTTTTGGCTATCCACTGTGGCTATTCTACGTGCCTCGGTTCAATTGTGACAGAGGTGAGTAATTTAATTTATTTTGTGTTATTCTATTCCTTTTCAGGGATCTTCTTGTCATTCTCATTTGTATCCCACTCAGTGAAGAGTGTTTCCTGGTCAGGTGTGCTTTTACAAATTTGTACTAGCTACCATTAAACTAATAACTAAATTCGTGGTAGCAATGAGCTCTGTTAAAATGGGGTGGTCCATAAGACCATCTTGGAGCTTTCTGGGTGGTGAACAGTTGTTCTATGTCAAATATAATATTACAATACTGGACTGACACTCATGGACTATCATGAGTAAAGCATAAATGAATTTTGCCCATCCCTGCTAACCCCTGCATTGAACAAATCGGGGTTGCTTTGCTTTTTAAAATAGAGAATATGGTTCACCTATTGCTCTGTCTTTGGAGCATTGTTCCTCAGTGCTCGGCCTGGCATGGCCAGGTGGTTAGAGTGCTTGACTCGCAGTCTGAGGGTTGCAGATTTGAGTTTCCATCCCACCAAACATGCTTGCCCTTTCAGCTGTGAGAGCATTATAATGTGATGGTCAGTCCCACTATTCATGGGTAAAAGAGTAGCCCATTAGTTGGTGGTGGGTGGTGATGACGAACTGTCTTTCCTCTAGTCTTTCGCTGCTATATTAGGGATGGGTAGCACAGATAGCCCTCGTGTAGCTTTGTGCAAAATTCGAAACAAACCAAAGCAAATCCTCATGACTCCCCAACATGAGTCCGCTCTCTCTCTTCTAGTGGAGCAAGGGAATCCTTACCACTCTCAGTTTCCAGTTGCTGGAGTGTGGACAGAAATCTATTCCTTCTGAGTGATGTTTGTATTCTTTATTCTACTCAAAGAGAAGAGAGCAAAGCTGGACTCCCCCCCCCCCCTAACCTGGATAGTTTTTCCAGATGTTGGGTGGAGAACCGGTCCAGCCTCCTCATAATTCTGGTTTATTGATGACTCTTTGCTATTCAATTGTGTGAGTGTGTCTCTCTTTTGTTCATTTTCTTACTTTCCATGGTTATGGAAGAGGATCTTCGACCTTTCGTAATTCCACACACGGAGAATCATGTCCATGAGCCATTGTTTGAACTTTGTTTGTTCCACATCCATCTTGTAATCCTTGGGAGCAGGAGGTGTTATCTTGCCTCCCAAGTTGAGGAGATAGGATTTCGGTTCATAATCCCAGGCCAGATGATTTCTGTTTCTTCAGGATGAGTAAGGCATGAATTGGCTCCATAATTCCAAGTATGGTGTGTTACATCCTGTGCTTCTTCAAGTTGGATGGAAGTCTTGTCCAGTTGGGTGTTGCTTGCCTTCTCTTTGTAATTCCGGTGGCTCAACAGGCAACATTATGTAACTTTCAGGTTAGGTTCCCTTCATATCATATTTCTATTATACAGCTATATCATATTGCGGTCCCCATGCCTTAGCCATTATACCTTGGATCTAGGTTTGTGTCCACAGCCCTGTAATTCCAACAATGAGACATGGAATTCTGTACGTGTGGTTTGGGTCTGCACAAATCTCGTGATAATGAACAGTGTTGACTCTGTAGCCAGTTAGCCTTTACTGCCTACATTTAGATTTCACTTTTTATCTGGGTGAAGAGCATTCATGTTCCAGAAGTTGTGTGGACCCCCACTAGTTTGCTTTATTATGTCTCAATTTTGCACACCTGTTTTTTATGCAGATACTTTCTGTGTGGATCTTGCCCTCACCAGCCCCTCCACCTAGTCAATGTGGGATTCTAGCTAAAGTGGGAGCGGAGGTGTGTTTCAGAGGTATACATTTTCCTATATCAAAAATGCATTTCCGATAATACTTACCTCCTTTCGTAGTATCCCACCCTTCCTCCCCAAGATATCCAATGTTTGGATCTGATAAACCTGACAGTCTCAAAAAAGTGAATAAGAAAGAATAATTGGTGTAGAGAATGCATTTATGTAGGTTGAAAGAGTCACAAGATTATAATTGCTATGGCGATATAGTGAGGTATAAAGACTGGAGCAAGCGAGGTAGAATTCATACCGATGCTTAGACAGGCAAAGAAGAGGACCTTTTGTCGGGATAAAGCTAAAGTGTGAGATGAGGTAAGTGTTATAGGAAAATGTAAACTTTCAGTTTTTACATGTTTTGTGTATCTCTGATTTTCATGTGTTATTTCAAAGTCATTCCATATGAAGAACCAGCAGTTGATGATCTTATCAAGAGCCTAAAGGTTTTATATTTCCTGCTTTCTTTTCAGCAAACTTACATCTTTGGTGCTATTCTGAATCGAGATGAAACCTATGACAGTATTTTGGAAGCAGGTCGCCGGGTTAGCTTGCCTTGGGCCCTCCAACCAACTGAATGTCATAATGATGACAATAATTCAAAAAAACAATCCATATGATTGTTTAATTCAACAGAAGCCTGTACATCTTCAGTAGATACCAAGTTGAAGTTATTTGTATATAAGTATTCCTCATGCCACCGTTACACATGAAAAGGTGTGTGGACCAAAGTTGTGAAAAAAGACTGCGAGATATCATCTCATTCTAAGGATATCAATCAGCAGGTATTATATTCAAGTGTTCAATATTTAAATGATCAAAAAAATGTGTGTTCTTGTTGTTAAAGGTCAGAAAGTTAAATGAACATAAGCTTCATATGTGGCAGCTTTTCCATAAGATTTAAGGATTAATCTTTAAACATATCAAAGAAGATAAAACAAATTTAAAAGTTTCAAACCCACCAGGTGTCTTTGTATGGTATTGATGAATGTATCAGTTGCCTTTAGTTTGATAAAAAAACAGAGAGAGAGAGCAACTGCTTGGTACTTTGACAACTAAATGATATCATTAGAAAACTTAGAAAAGTTTATACTCATTTAAAAATTCACAGACTGTCATTCTTTTTGAAAAATTAAAAATTTAATAAGATATCTTATTCTTCATTTAATCATGTGGAAATGTTTCTATTACCCAGAAGAAATTAGAAATATAACTACCTTTATTATTTATAGTTGGAGGATGAAAAAATTAAGCAGTTAGATTAATAAAATCCATTGCTGTTGTAGGGTTTAGTTAAGAAACAAAACAAGCACCCTGACACTGTGTACAGACTCACCTTTTTCACTGTTTTATGATAAATTGCTGGAAGTAGATAGAAGATAAAACACGAACCTTTATATTTAAAATTAATTTATAGTTTTGTATAAAAACTAGAAAATTCAAAAAATAAATGCCTGTATATTGTTAGGCCTATGATATAACAGAAATATATACATATAAATATAAGTGTTCAGAATTTTGAGCCAAATGATACTAAATCTCATCAAAACTTTAGAGGTATATTTTATATACAAGCTAAAAGGAAAGTTAGAGCAAAGCCTCAGGAAATCCTGATCAGTCATTGAGGTTTAAGGTTTATGATCTTATTTACATTTTTAATTGATCAGCTATGAAAGCAAATATATATATATATATTGTTGATAAGAGTATTTCATTATTTTTTAATACCAGCTCATTTTGCTATACAGACTACAGTTACTAAACAATGGCAGGATAGAGACTGATGTCATTAGAATAGCTGGAAATTAAATTCTTGTAGTTTTTAGTAGAAAAAACAACAACAACATATCTATATGAAATGTTTGATGTATGGAAATGTAAAACAGCATAGATTGTTGGGTTTATCCACTTTTCTGACACCTACACACATTCTTGGAAGTTGTTTGTTAACTGGTCTCCCAAATAAAAGTGGTGACTGATTTATCATCCAGATCATAACGTCAAGATAATTATAGTTAGATTATGATTATAAGAAAAACGTCACTTTAGAATTTTCTTAACCACAAGTTAGGGCAATGAGGTTAGATAGTTTTGCTTTCCAATGTTAGTATCTCTTCTTGGTTTGAAGATTTATTGCCAATATGGTGGTTGCTCACAGTGGATCCATCTGATTGACTGAAACTAGACCCTCATACCATGATTCTCACTAGGCAGAATCATATCATTTTACAGTCATTAACAGATTCAAGCCTTACTAGTATTATCCTAACTATAGGTTCAAGCCTTACTACTGTTATCCTAACTATACATTCAAGCCTTAATAGTATTATTGTAACTACAGATTCAAGCCTTATTAGTATTATCCTAACTATAGGTTCAAGCCTTACTAGTATTATCCTAACTCCAAGTTAAGTGTCTGCTATGTAATAAAGTGTATGTGTCATAATACTGATTCTTATTTTGTAATGCTTATGGTTGTTTAAGTGAGTTTTTGTATTTTCTTTTTCTTAATAACAGTATTTCATGCTCACATTTTTTTTTGAATGATATGATTATGAAAGAAACTGTATAATAATTCAATAAAGTGGTTTTCAACAGTATCAAATGCTGATTAAATGTTATTACGACAATTAACTGCTGAACCAAAATATTTAACTTTTTTTTAAATTGCAGTAAAATATTTCTATCAGTGAGGGTTCAATGAGTGCCTTGTCTTGAGTTAAAAAAAAGTGTTCTAAATATAGTCAATTGATGATTGCAGGTTGGGTTCAGGATTATATATATATACATATTTGGAAAGTATATCTGCAAATTTGATAGTTTTTGTAGAACTTTGAATAATCCTAAAGATTTCAACATTACGAGTTCTTGTTTCATTAATTACTGATTGGTTTAAACAGCTTAACTATTAGATGTATGTACAGGTTTTGAAGGAATTGTACACAGGATTCAGAAGTCTTTTTACATGCAAATACTTTGGAAATGAAGAGTTAAAGTAAGTGTTAGAGGTATTGAACTAGATCGTGTTGGCCTACTCTGTGACAGTATCTTTGAGGTTGTACAATGTAATGTCCTTCATAAAGTTTATCAACTTGTATCATATGCTTAAAATGTCAGTGGCAAAGGTGTATATACAATAACAGATAAAACAATTTAAACCAAAAATTATCAGTATTGCTGCACAACAATAACATAAATACACGTGAAATAAACATCCCAACAATATTGTGAAATGGTAGCAATCATATGATACAGTATCGTGCAGATTAGTTTTGAAGGGCAAGACCTTAACTCTTTACATCTGTAATTTTTTGTGCATATTGCCAGAATTATTTTCATGATTTCATAATAATTATCACCATACCTTATAAAAATTCGATTTCCTTAATTTTGTGGGTAATAACATGGTTTGGATTAGTTTTCAGCCAAAGAGACATAAATATTATTGGATGCTTTCACCGTCTAATGGGTAAATTGGAATTTTCGACAAGATTCTTGTAGTGTCCACTTGGGTTTAAAGAGTTAAATGATCTCTGTGATAATTTTCACATACCAACAACCTGGCCTCCTGAGAGGGCAGGGAGGCTGAAAATATTTTCTCGGTGCCCACTTCCCACAAGAGGCTCCATGAGAGTGTAAAGAAATGTGTATGGAATGTTTAAGCAAACACTAACTGCACTTTCACTCATTTGTGCATGAATGTGGGATCATTCAAAACTTATTTGGGGGGGGGGGGCATAACCTATCAATTTTTGAATCATCTAATTGTTAGTAAACTTTTGTAACACCCCATAAAAATAACAACTAGCAGATGTATCTGTACCTTGTATGACATTCATTATTGTAGCTATATGGGGATGAAATGTGTGTGCATCTTTCCTCATGCAGGAAAGATGATCAGATAAGCTACCCACAGCTTTGATTGTTGTTTTAGTCTCATGTCACTTTGTGTGGTAAAAGTTGAACTGTTTGTGCGATTGTTTATCCGTTTAAACTCTATATTTCCAGAGTCCGTCTGGGCTCCTTTACCAAATTTCATTTAAATTGGTTCATCCAGTTTTTCGCATGTGCTTATAAAGACACCTGACAAACTGACAGATACATATAGAATATTAGAAGATAGTTGACACTCACTGACATAGAATAAACTGAAAATATCAATTTGGAGAAGAATGCCTAGGTTTGCTCACATCCTGCCAGTCACAAAGCTAAGTTATGTGTAACATATACAATACCACAAAGTTACGTTCTCTGTAACATATACCAAGTAAGAGTCAATACAATACCACAAAGCTATGTTCTCTGTAACATATACTAAGTAAGAGAGTCAATACAATACGACAAAGCTACGTTCTCTGTAACATTTACCATGTAAGAGTCAATACAATACGAAAAAGCTACGTTCCCTGTAACATATACCAAGTAAGAGTCAATACAATACGACAAAGCTACGTTCCCTGTAACATATACCAAGTAAGAGTCAATACAATACGACAAAGCTACGTTTCCTGTAACATATACCAAGTAAGAGTCAATACAATACTACAAAGCTAAGTTCTGTGTAACATACACCAAGTAAGAGAGTCAATACAATACTACAAAGCTATGTTCCCTGTAACATATACCAAGTAAGAGAGTCAATACAATACCACAAAGCTACGTTCCCTGTAACATATACCAAGTAAGAGAGTCAATACAATACCACAAAGCTACGTTCTCTGTAACATATACCAAGTAAGAGTCAATACAATACCACAAAGCTACGTTCCCTGTAACATATACCAAGTAAGAGAGTCAATACAATACCACAAAGCTACGTTATCTGTAACATATACCAAGAGTCAATACAATACCACAAAGCTACATTCTCTGTAACATATACCAAGTAAGAGTCAATACAATACCACAAAGCTACGTTTCCTGTAACATTTACCATGTAAGAGTCAATACAATACCACAAAGCTACATGCCCTGTAACATATACCAAGTAAGAGTCAATACAATATGACAAAGCTACGTTCCCTGTAACATATACCAAGTAAGAGTTAATACAATACCACAAAGCTACGTTCTCTGTAACATATACCAAGTAAGAGAGTCAATACAATACGACAAAGCTACGTTCTCTGTAACATATACAATACCACAAAGCTACATTCCCTGTAACATATACCAAGTAAGAGTCAATACAATATGACAAAGCTACGTTCCCTGTAACATATACCAAGTAAGAGTCAATACAATACCACAAAGCTACGTTCTCTGTAACATATACTAAGTAAGAGAGTCAATACAATACGACAAAGCTATGTTCTCTGTAACATATACTAAGTAAGAGATCAATACAATACGACAAAGCTACGTTCTCTGTAACATTTACCGTGTAAGAGAGTCAATACAATACTTGTATTCTGAGTGAGTGGTTAAATTGTAACTTTGATAAGCAGTAGAGATCAAAGATAGTGTAAAAGATAAATCTTTGCTAATAAGGAGTGAAAAATGTTAGAAACGTTTTTAAAGAAATGTAAAATATTAATAAAGGACTTGACATTTATTACTAAAGACACTTATCTACTTTAGTACACAGTATGAAAGGTGTAGGAAATGAATTTTGTTTTTTACATGCAACAAAATATATTATTAGTACAGTATATAATTCAGTTGAGTTTTGTGGAGGGTACTTGAAACAGATCATGGAATTATTCATGCATGATGAATTTTTGTATTATCTAAATATTCTGTTTAGAAATGTAAAATTGTCTAGAGTCAAACTTCTGAAGAATGACAGAATGTGATTATGTATTTGTTGATTTGTAATTTTTTTGTAATTTGTATTAAGGCCAATAGCAGTGGTGGTTTGATCAAGAAGTGGCTGTAAGACAGCAAAAGTACAGTATAATTTGTTTTGTGTCAAACAGAATATATTTCGTGAACAATTCTGGTGTTTTTTTATGGTTCTTTGAGACGTGTGATCATTTAGCTGTACATGAGGATAATTTTCAGAGATTTTCATCTAAAGCAAAGTTCTTGTATTGTAGAATTTTTATCTAAAATCTTGAATAGGTAAGTCTGAAAAAAACAAAAAAACAAATGAAGCATATGTAATGACTGCAATCTGCAGTATCTGATTGAAGGTGATGTTTTAGGAAACTTGAAAATATACCCCAGTGTAAATTTAGCTTTTCCATTAACATCCATTTCACATTATTGTGTTAAGAAAGTTTTTGTTGATTTGTTATATTCCAGAAACTATTAATTGTTGGATTTCAGAACTTTGCACATAAAGTGCTTACTATGATTTTAACTTGTTAAATTGATGATGTAATATGATAGGCACAGAAGCTTGGTGGACATTTGTAAGAAATGAGCATAGTATTACAAAAACTTATAAGAAGAAAGAAATGATTTATTTGTACATTGTATTGTAGAAGTGAAATGGATGGTTTATATATGTATATATATATTTTGTGATTGATTTTTCTTCTTCATCCTAGTCCTATATATTTTCTGTTTTTCAAAAATTGTGTAGAATTGATAAACAGCATCAACCACCTTATAATGGTAACTCTACACAGTAACTGTAAAACTTTGAAGCTGTTGAACTGATTGATACATTCTCTCAGTGTGTGAGTAGCTGTGGAGAAACACTCCAGAATGTAAAAACAGATTATTTTGTTGTAATATAATTATATTGAAGTTTACTTCAAAAGTAGTAATGTTTTCGTAGAAAAAACTATACTTATAATTTTTTTTTAAATTTCAGTTCAAGTTACTTGTTTCTTGTGAAGGTTGAAGTAAACGTATAGCAAGTTTGATATAAGTTTTGAAGTAAGAGCAAGTTAACTGCTACTTCGTGTGAGGCATGTTTTTGAGAGATTGTATTTTTTGAACATTTTCATCTTAAACTTTTATAACCTTAATGTTTTTTCTCTATAAATCTCATCTGACAAAAGTGACAAATTTTTAACTTCACTTATAAAAATTGATATTAGATTTCATCTATTTTGGGCTTTGATTTTGTATAACATGGTTTGGATAAGTGAGTGGTTGCAGTACTCAGTATTATGGTTGTTGCCTGTGGCTGCACAGTTTTGTCATGACAGCTTTGATTTTTATGACGTTTTGGTGAGTATGTACATTCTAAAGAGTCCAAGTAGCTATGGAAATAAGCACAAGAAGGAAAGATGCTGTAAGTCACAATTTTTGTATTCCAAATATTATGAAATTCCTGTTGTCTACTTGAAGTTACTTATGAAATTATTGAAGTATATGTTGTCCTTCAAGTTATGTTATTGTTTAGTTGTAACAAATTACACATTTCAAAAAAGTTTCGTGTTTCAACTATTAAGTGGTAACTATTGTAGTAGATAATATGCTTACTGGTATTTTGTAATAAGCAGTGAATTTTGTATTGTGAAATTTTACTCGAGTTATGCAATGTGGTAATAAAACGAACCTTCTTGGATCATTTAGTGTATTTATTAAAATACATTTTCACAGAGAACCTGGTTTAGAAATGCCACACTATAAGGAGTAGGGACAAACAGAGCTGTCCTTAGCAAGCACAAGATAACCCCTTGCACAAAAGCCTGAAATTTTGAGGTAATCTATTCCCCCAATCCAGTTAAATCATCTTTTTGTTACCAAAATGTGGGAAAATGTGTCTGCGGTTGATTTGTGCTTGTTTTCAGGTCAGCAATTATCCAGAAACATATGCAATTTAAAAAATGTATACCCACCCATTAAGCCTTTTTGCTAAAAGGTAAAATTGGCATTTCTGTGGTTGTGTTCATTTAATTGATATTACCCTGAATTCTAATGCAAAAGATACTTTTTATATGCACTATAATTGTCAGTTGTTTGTGTACAACTGTAGTATCATTAAAATATTCGATGCCATTTAATCCTTAGGAGACGGTTTATTACGGACTAATTCTGTGGTAAGATGTCACCATGAATTAAAAGGTGAAAGTATTGTAGTTACAAGTTCTACAATTTTTACATGCCTTGTAATCTGAAGAAGTTGATGTTCTATTTTGTGCATAAAAATGATCTAAAAAACTAATCAAGATTTATTTACTTAGATTTTAAAAACAAGAAGAAATTCTTAATTTTTAAGCTGTTTTAAAAACTAATTCTTAAGTTTCCATTCATATTTCACATCAGTGAAACAATTAAATAAAGAAATGTTATGCAGATTACTTAAAATATTTAGGGAATAGACTAATTATTTTTTTCTGTTTAAATTTCCTTAGGCCATTCAAGAAAACTTAACTTAGTCAACGCTGTAATTCTATTGAATAAACTATATCCAAATGTAGCATTATATAACAGTTAAGTAAAATTAAATAAACCAGTAATTGTACATGCCTAGCTATCATGGTTTAACATCAGTTTTTTTCTCTCTCTTCCTTTTTTTTTTAAATTCTGGTTCCCAATGGCTTAGCAGTAAGTCTCACAGCTTACATTGCTAAAATTTGGGTTTTGACACCTATGTTAGGCAGAGCTTGGATATCCCATTGTGAAGCTTCATTCCTTAATAACAAACAAAAGTTTTTAAATCTGTAGCACTAACTTAACATGACATAACCTTCAGTATATAACGGTAATGAACATTTCTTATTAGCATGGTTAAACGTCACTGTTGTTGAATATCTAAAACAGTGTAAATAGTTGAACATTCCTTATTAGCATGGTTTTAACGTCACTGTTGTTGAATATCTAAAACAGTGTAAATAGTTGAACATTCCTTATTAGCATAGTTAAACGTCACTGTTGTTGAATATACAACCATGATGCCTAACTATGATTGTTAAACACCAGTATTGTTTAAGTTCTATAACTGTAATTGTACATGCTTAACTACCATTGTTAAACAACAGGGTTTGCTCTCCATCTTCCTCTCACCTTTTCTTCTGACTCTTGACTGCTTTCCTTTCCATTCATCTTCTGACTTTTGACTGGTTTCTTTTCCACCCTCCTTAATTCCTATTTTTTACTCCAATTTTCTAATTCATAAATCATTTTTCGAAGCCTACTAACTATTCTCTTAAATGTCAAATATTTGTGTCAAACATTATATTTTCCCTTCCTTTTTTTATGTGAAACTTCCTCTGGAATTACTTCTAATTTATTCCACATATACTTATCCGATTGATTCAATTTCTTCTATATCTGATCTTTCGCTACTTTTCTTTTTTAACGCTGGTAAAATATTATCCTAGTTTTCTTTCAAAACCAAAGTATCTTCGTTATCCTTGTCCTTGCTTTCAAGAACATATATTGTTTTCAATATTGTCAGAAGGTTATTTCATTCCTATCTTCCAAACATGACTTGGTGATTAAGATGATCGACTCATAAGCTGCGGTTCGCGGAATCAAAACCAGTCGCCGAACACACTCGCTCGTTTACCCACGGGGGCGTTATAATGTTACGCCCAATCCCTAAGATTACAGGAGTTGTTGGAGGAAAAAGAAAAGAAACAAGAAGAGAAATTACAGCAGTTGTTGGAGGAAAAATAAAAGAGACAAGAAGAACGAGAAAAAAACAAGAAGAGAGATTACAGGAGTTGTTGGAGGAAAAAGAAAAGAAACAAGAAGAACGAGAAAAGAAACAAGAAGAGAAAATTCAGCAGTTGTTGGAGGAAAAAGAAAAGAAACAAGAAGAGAAATTACAGCAGTTGTTGGAGGAAAAAGAAAAGAAACAAGAAGAGAGACAACAGCAGTGGCAAGAAAACCT